GAATCACATACGCAGAAAGGAAGACATGGATGACTTGCTATCTGCGTCGTTGGAAGGAATGTCCACATTGATGCGATTCCAGCCATTTGCATATTTGAATATTATATCGCTTTTAAAACTTTGTTTTTTAGAATTTTTTATTAGGAATCCTACAAAAATCAACAAGCACGAATATTTTCATATATAAAGAATGGAAAAAGAATATCGTATATGAAGCCATGAATTTCCATTAGTATAGCTTGTTTTTCTAAAGTATTTATTCAATTTAACATGGTAGTTCATCACTGCCCTGCTTGTCTGTGTCCCCTTCTGAATGTCCTGCTTCTGTCTTTTAAAAAAAAATGTTGCACAATGTCTTTTTTTTTTTACTATTACTATCACTACCCCCCATGCCTCCCATAATCCTCCCTAACACCTGAAATAAAAACTGTCCCTTATACTAAATCAGTATAATCAAACAAAACAAATTCACACACTGGCCATGGCTGAAAATGTGTCTCAGTTCTACACCTCTAGTCCATCACCTCTGTCAAGAGGAGGGATCTGTGATTCGTCATCCGTGTTCTGGAGTAATGATTGGTCATTGCATTGTTAGCTGTTCTGATGTCTTTCAAAGTTGGTTTTCCTTTGTAGTATTGTCATTATGTAAATTATTTTGGTTCTGCTCACTTCATTTTACATGAGTTCATACAGATCTTCCCAGGCTTCTTTGAACTGGTCTCTGTCATAATTTCTCACAGCATGATAATATTGCCTTTTACGTTTACATGCCATAATTTGCAGAACTATTCCCCAGTTGATAGGCTGCTGTATTGTTTCTAGTTCTTTGCTGCAACAAAAAGCACTGATATTAGTATTTTGATATGAGTTCTTTCCAGGGGTGTACTTTTAAGGACCAATTGTTAAATTTTCAGTGTGATCATTTACACCTTAGAAATTGGCAGACACTACAAATCAGGGCTGTATTTATTATTTTTGTTGATTGTCTACATCAAAAGTGTTGGAGAAAATAATAACAATGCAGATTAAACTTAAAAGTATGTTGTAAGTAGTTTTGGTTTTTTGTTTGTTTGTTTTCATAGATCTGATTGATTTACAAGGCTATCAGTGGATCCCTGTTTTGTTGTGGTTTTTTTGTTTTTTACTTCTGGGGCATGTACCTAAATAGTGATATCTCTGGTTGAAAGGTATACACAGTTTAATGACTTCGGGGCATAATTCTGAATTACAGAATATCTGGACCACAGCTCTATAAACAGTGCATTATTAGGCCTGTCTTCCCACAGCCCCTCCAACAACTGTCATTTTCCATTTTTGTCATTTTTGTCAATCTGATGTTGTGGAATCTCAAAGTTGTCTTTGATTTGCATTTTTCTTATTATTAGTAATTTGGTATATTTTTTCATATGGTAGTTGATAGCTTGCATTCCCCCTTTTTTTTTTGAGAGCTGCCTGCTCATATCCTTTGTTCTATTGGGGAATAGCTCTTATTATATTTTTGCTTCAAGTCTTTATATATCGATATGTACAATATTTGTGGATTTGTTGATACGTACTGCTGCCAATCAAAACTATCAGTACACAGAGACGTAGGAGGTAAGACTTAGGTTTATTAAATATATGATTCAGCCTAGAACCAGAGTTCTTAATTAACTCCAGCCTTGAACAACAATTTCCTAAAACTTATACAGTCTCTACATCAGAGAGAAAGAAGGAAAAGATATAATTTTGGATTTATAGATGTCAGGAGAAAGGAATTTATAGTTGCCAAAAGGAGAAAATAAAGATTTACTTTCACTCATATAATTGTAAAATTTACATTTTGAAGGTATGTTTGTTAACTATTTAGTAGGCTAATTGAGAGGAAAGAAGGTTTCCATGTCAAAAGATAAGTGAAGAAGAAAAAATCACATCAGATCAGGCTGTAGAATTTATCAATAAACACTAAGAAGGGGGAGTCTGGGATTTACAGCCATCGGGCAGGTATCATAAAATTCCTTTCCCCCTTTCCCATTTCTTATCTCAGGCAAAATAATTGGAAGTCTCAGCTAATTTAGCACACCATAAGGAAAGCCTCAGTCAGTTATGTGATTGTCCTTAAAAATAAAAGTAGCATTGTGCTATAAAAAATGATGAACAGGCTGACTTCAGAAAAACCTGGAAAGACTTGTATGATCTGATGCTGAGTGAAGTGAGCAGAACCAGGAGAACATTGTACACAGTATCAGCCACATTGTGTAATGACTAATATTGATAGAATTAACTCTTCTCAGCAACACAAGGATCTAAGACATCTCCAAATGCTATCCACATACAAATGAAGAACTATGGAGTTTGAATGCATATTGAAGCATACTATTTGCTATTTTTTTTTCTTCTGTTGTGTTTTGTTTCCTCTTTCTGGTGGTTCCTCTTGTTGGTTCTAATTTTTACTTACAACATCAGTAATGTGAAAATATGTTTAATAGGAATGCATATGTATAGCCTATATCAGATTATGTGCCATCTTGGGAAGGGAGGTGGGGAGAGAGAGGGAGAAAAATTTAAAACTCAAAAGCTTATGAAAGTATTTGTTGATAATTCAAAATAAATTAATTAAAAAAATAAAAATAAAAGTGGCCATGCTAGACCCAAATAATGAAAGAAAAAATGATTTGAAACTCTATGAGAGGAATTTGTTACAAATATGTTTTTCCCAGTTAACTGGGAAATTCTATCTTCATTTTGTTTCTATAAAAACTTTGTAATTTTTATGCCTTCAAAATTGTCCATTTTATCCCCCATGAATTTCTTTATCCCTTATCCCTTGTCTGATCAAAGAACTCTCCCACTCTCCATAGTTGTGAAAGGTATCTTCTTTCCTTTTCCTCTAATTTCTTTATTATTCTGAATGTGACAAACACCAAGAAACAAGAACATTCTCCATATACAAAGAATAGAAAAAGAGGATTGGCTATGAAACCGCAAATCTCTATTACATCAGCCTGTGTTTTAAAAACAGCGTGAAGTCACTATATTAGTTTCAAAGATGTCCTGCCTCTCCCTCTGAACTTCATTCTGTTCTGTGCATTTTTCAGTATTCTTTGGTGAAATTCATATTGTTTCTTTTACTTTTTTTTTTGGCATCTGTATCCCTAGAACTATTTACCCCTGATGTTATTGGAAAGACCCCTAGGATTTCTCCTTTACACATAATGACAGCTCTCAATTTTAGATAGAAATTATTTATC